CTCCTCCCCCCAGTCCCGGCCCTGCCGCAGACCCCTAGGCCGCCTCCGCCCTCCCTAGGCCCTGCTGTCTCCCCTCCGGGTCCTGGGACGCCTCCGCCTGCCGCCCACAGCCTGTCCTCACCTCTGCTTTCCCCTTCCCCAGGGTGGCACCGGCTTCGCGGGCTCCGGAGTGAAGCTGCAGGCGGAGAAGTCACGGCCTGTGATGCAGGCCTGAGAGCGCAGGAGACCGAATAAAGGGTTTGGAAGCCACAGGCGGTGCAGCGCCTTCATTCGCCTCTGGAGCCCCGGCCGGCCGCGGCGAGGAGCCTTCCGGCGGCGGTGGGCCTGCTGGAATGACTGGAGTTGGAAGGCATGGGCTGAGAGTATTTAATGTGGTTGCGGGTTAAGAGTAAAATCTGAGTTGAACGCAAGTGCGTAGCGTTGAAATTGATTAAGAGCGGCCAGAGCCCGGCTGGCGTGGCTCAGCGGTTGAGCATCGACCTAGGATCCAGGAGACCGAGGTCCGATTCCCGGTCAGGGCACATGCCTGGTTGCAGGCTAGATCCCCTGTCGGGGGCGTGCAGGAGGCAGCCGATCAATGACTCTCTCATCATTGATGTTTCTCTCTCCCCCTCTCCCTTCCTCTCTCTGAAATAAAGATTTAAAAAAAAAAAAAAGTGGCCAGAGGTCAAAGTCCCAGCCACCACCATATGAGGGTGCCACTTTAACAGGCTAAATAGAACCCCGCCTCTGAGGGTGAGCCTGGTACACCTGCCTGCAGTTTGGACTTGACTAGGTGCAGCCCTTAAAGCTTTGTGTTTAATAACCACTGAATTAGCCCTGCTGTTACTGCTCAGTGGTTGAGCGTCCACCCATGAACCAAGAGGTCACCCGCTGGATTCCTGTCAGGGCACATGCCCAGGTTGCAGGCTCCATCCGCAATAGGGGGCATGCAGGAGGCAGCAGATGTTTCTATCTTTCTATCCCTCTCCCTACCTCTCTAAAGTCAATAAAAACATTTAAATAATAATAACCACTGAATCACAGAAGCGTCCCTGGGCAGTGTGGAAAACTGAACATACAGTCAAACAAAGATTAAAAACAAAGACTTAACATTCCTGCCTCCCTAGGTCCTGTCCTTGTAGATCTCTGCACGCGCACACACACGAGTTTTTCAACCCATGAGGTCTTTGCACAATCTACCTTGTCATTCTGGTAAAGGGGCTTCTCATCTAACATGCAGATGCGACTCGAAGGACCAGGAAGTGTCCGTGACCGCTATTTGGTCAAACACCCCCTACCCCCACCCCCATGCAAGACAGGATGTTGCATCTGACTGAAGGGAAAGGTTTCAGTAGGTGGGTGGGGTCATCCTTGCACCCTGGGAGGCCCGAAAACCCAGTATTCCTCCAAACACTTCTGGGGCCTTCCCTTGGTCCCTAACAGCCCTCACGCCACTCTTGGGGCCCCAGTCTCTGGGAACTGGCCCAGTTACCGCTGACAGTCAAGGAGCCCTTACCCTCTGCACCTGTCAATCTGCAGTCCCCTTGAATCCTTGACAGGGGTGCTTACACCCATTTCCCAGAACAGCCCACTGAGGCTCAGAAAACAACTTGCCCAAACTCACCGCTCAAAGCCCTAGCAAAAGCCAAGTTCACCCAGAGGTCTGCCACCTCCAGAGACACCCCACCCTAGGCTTGGTCCCTCCCTCCCCCAGGTATTCCCACAGTTTCACCCCACAGACCTCTCCACCTTTATACCCAGTCCACTCAAATCCTCCCCTAAACACGCTCAATCATCATCTTCACCAGCACCCTCAACCACCCCTGAGTCCTTCCAGCTTTTTCTCCCAGGTCCTCAAGGACTCTAATCTTGTTCCTGTGTGGTATAGACTACCGCCTACACTCCAAACAACTAAGATTGCACCTTTATTTCCACAAAGAACTGAAATTCACCTCTTCTATTCACAGGCCAGGCCCTTTGCGGGAAGGCGGTGGGGTGTGTGTCAAGGTCTTTACTCCAAGAAATAGGTTTCCTTTAAGGTTTCAAAGGTAACAAGAAAAGAAAGCAGCCCCGGCCGGTGTGGCTCAGCTGGTTGGGCGTTGTCCCCATGCACCAAAGGGTTGTCAGTTTGATTCCCGGTCAGGGCACACGGCCTGGTTGTTGGCTCCATCCCTGGTAGGTGGCGTAAAGGAGGCAGCCGACTGATGTTTCACTATGACATCGATGTTTTTCTCTCCCTCTCCCTCTCTCTCTAAAAATCAATTAAAAAATCTTTAAAAAAAATAAAAAGAAAAGAAAGCAAGAGTAGTACCCTAGGAGAAGAGAGGCAGGAAGTGGAAACAAATCTTGTCTTTTCTCAGCAGAGGCTTCCTAGACACAGTCTGCAGCTTAGAGCAGGAAGCGGGCATGCTGGGGCTCATCCTGGGCGCGCGCCTGCGGTTAGCTCCAGCCTCAGCGTGCCCACTGGCAAAGCTTCAAGGCACTTGCAATTGTTTGTTAAGATTTTTAAATGGGGAGGTTTATTCTGGGAAAATGACAACCATATAGACAGAGAACAAATCCTTTGTTGCCATGGGAGGGGGAAGAGTTGACTACAAAGACGGGGGTTGGCATGAGAATCCGCGGGGGAGGGTGGTGATGGAACTGTTCTGCACCTTGATTGTGGTGGTTACATGACATGTGCTGGCTCCTTGCATGCAGTGTCATTTATAAAAGACTAGAAACAACCTAAAGGTCAGTCAGTGGAGAACTGGTTAAATTATCTAGGGGAGTATTATTCAGCTGTTAAAAAGAAAAAAGACAAAGGAAATGAAGACATTCTTTTTATTTTCTTTAAAAGTGTGATCTAGGCCCTGCCAGGCGTGGCTCAGCGGTTGAGCATTGACCTAGGATCCAAGAGATCACGGTTCGATTCCCAGTCAGGGCACATGCCCAGGTTGTGGGTTTGCAGGCTTGATCCCCAGTCGGGGATGTGCAGGAGGCAGCCGATCAATGACTCTCTCATCATTGATGATTCTATCTCTCTCTCTCCCTCTCCCTTCCTCTCTCTGAAATCAGTAAAGATATATTTTTAAAAAAAAGTGTAATCTAGGTCACTATGATCTCTGAGAAAGGAAGGGAGAGAGAGAGAAAGAAAGAAACATCTATGTGAGAGAAAAACATCGATCGGTTGCCTCCCGGTCACTCCCCAACCAGGGATCAAACCCGAAACCCCGTGTAGGTACGCGCCCTGACTGGGAGTCAAACTCAAAACCTTTTGGCGGACGGGACAACGCTCCCACCAACTGAGCCACCGGCCAGGGCGAAGACATTCTTTACGGACTGAATTGAAATAGTCTTCAAAATGTATTCTTAATTACCGAATAAAAAAACAAGTAAATTTAAAATCAGAGGATCCTGACTCAAAAAATATTGTTTAGAAAAACAAGAGAGGCAGTGCCCTCGGCGGTCCCGGATCTGCCTCTTGCTTCAACAGTGTTTGGATGGGACAGACCCAGAGCCGGGGACGCCGCTTCTTCCAGCCTCCCCGCCCCCCAAGCTCACAAGCTCATTTGCAGTGACCGCCCTGGGAAACCCCTCAGCCTCCGACACCAGCCACCAGCCACCTTTTACCTTAATTTATTGTCGAACAACCCTGAGCTCCCAAACTCACCAGAAGCAGCCAGCGAGGTGGAGGCCCCCGGCCCACCTGCACCTGCGGCCTCCTGCACTCACCTCTCTGGGCTCGTTTCCACCATAGCGACGTGGCTCCGGAGGGCATCGGCCACTTCTTCGGGGGGCTGGCCGAGGAGCCTGAGGGCCAGGGTATTTCTTAAAGATGCAAAAGCAGCGTTGTGGCCATACTCTCTTCCAGGACATGCTGAAGCCTCCTCAAGATGAGTGGGGTGGCCTAGCAGTTTCGGCTCAGTGGTTAGAGTATCGGCCCGTGGACTGAAGGGTCCTGGGTTCGACTCTAGCCAACCTCGGTTGCAGGTACATTTGGGAGGCAACCAGTCGATACGTGTTTCTCCTTCTCGATCTCTCTCTTTCTCTGGAAAGCAATGGAAAAAAAGTCCTCTGGTAAGGATTAAAAATTAAAAAAAAGACAAGGGGGGTGGAACTCAGGACACCGTGGAAGCCACCATGGCCTTAGAGAAGAGCCTGGACCAGGCCCTTTTGGATCTGCAGGCCTGGGGCTCTGCCCACACCGCCACTCAGCTCTGTGACTTCCTGAGAACCACTTCCTGGGTGAAGAGGCGAAGCGCATCGAGAAGATGGGCGACACCTGGCCACCGCCGCAGGCTGGGCTGGGCGAGCATCCCTTTGAAAGGCTCACCCTCAAGCACGACTAGGAGCATTGGAGCCCAGAGGCCTTTGAGGGGGCCCCTCTGCATTCCCCTGGTGTCCGGCTTTTACCTGAGTCTCTCCCTGAAACCATTAGGCATCCTTTTTTTTAAAAAACAAAATACGTTTTTATTGATTTTTAGACAGAGAGGAAGAGAGAAACATGGATCTCCTGCACGCCCCCTGCTGGCGATCAAGCCCACAGCCTGGGCATTGCCCTCACCCGAAATCGAGCCGATGACCTTTTGGTGCACAGGGCGATGCCCAACCAGCTGAGCCACACTGGCCAGGTCTAGGCTGCTTTTAACCACCCGGAGCCCTGTCCCATGCATTGGACCAAATGGAAACAATAAAGCTTTTTGCAGAAAGAAAAGGGAAAGAGAGAAGTAAAAATATTGTTAGTCCTCTGCTATCATCTCTATTAAAAGAACAAAAACAGTTGGTATGTATTTGCTTAAATCTGTGTAAATTCCTTCTGAAAAGAAATACTGGCTACCTGTGCACTTGATGGAAGGAAGACTTCATTTTTTAGTATATAGCATCTTTGTGTTTAGAATTTTGTTATCCTGTAAATATATTGCCAAAATTTAAAAATAACCAAAATGTGCAAAATATATTTTTTTTAACTTCTGGGTAGAACCCCTAAGGGTGATAAGGTGCTGGGTAGCTTCCCATCATAAGTTGTTCTGTAAAAGTAATTTGTTACTATGTGTGAATATTATTTTTATTTATGTTAAAAATCGACAAATTTGCCCTACTTCTTCATAAACCTCCTCCACCCAACAGGGGGCAGTATGTTATTATAACGAAAAGCTTGGATTCAAATTCCAACCCTCCCATAGATACCAGTTATAAACTCTGAATAAAACAGAAGATAATTAACTAAAATCACTGGGAAGTGAACAGAAACAGACAGAAACTGGAAGGGAACTGAAACACAAAAAGGAAAGGCAGTGGGTGAGTTTCTCATTTGTACCACTTTCATCCTGGGGGTAGGTGTTTTTTTTTCTATTTTAGTTGCTTATGATGCTTTTAGTGGGCTTTATTTTTAAGAGCAGTTTTAGGTTTATAGGAATATTAGTGGACAGTACAGAGAGTTCCTATAGACCTCCTCACCCCACTCCCACTTTCCCGTTATTAACATCCTGCATTAATGTGGTGCTTTGTTATAATTGATAAGCCAATATTGACACATAATTATTAATTGAATTGCATAGATATTGAGGGTTCACTTTGTATGGTACATTTTATGGGTTTTGACAAGTGTAAAATGGCATCTGTCCACCATCATACAGAATCGTTTTACTGCCCTAAAAATCAGGGGACTTTTTTTTTTAAGACAGAGGAAGAGAGAGGGAGAGAAACGTCAATCAGCTGCCTACACAGCCCCACCAGGGATCGAGCCTGCAACCCGGGCAGGTGCCCTGACTGGGAATTGAACCAGCAACCATGAGGGGCGAAGGACGACCCCCAACCAAGCCACACCAGCCATGGCTCAGGGGGATTTCTTGAAAGCAAACTTTGAAGTGTATCATGCATAAAAGTGGACACATCGTGCGTGGACAGCTGGGTGAATTTTTACAGGCTGAACACCCTCAGGGATGCAGTTCCCATCTTAAGCTCAGTCCCCAAAACTGAATTCAGGTCCATTCCAGTTCTCCTCACCAAGGGGCAACACTAGCCTGACTTCTGATCCTGGGTTAGTTTTGCCTGTTCTTGAGTTTCCTATCAATGGAATCACGCAGCCTGCGATTCTGTGTCCAGCTCCTTTCGCTCAGCATGTTTGTGACATTCCTCTGCGCCGTTGGGGGGCCTGGAGGCCACCCCTGCTCCTGCTGTGGCTTCCCTTGGGCCAAGGCCCCACCACGCACTAAACTCTTCCGTGGATGAGCATGTGGGTTGTTTCTAGTTTGGGGCTATTATGATTAAATTTGCCCCAAACCTTATTTTGGTAACTTTCTTTTATTTCCATTCTGGAGCCACCGGGAGTGGAATCACTGGGACAGACTAAGGCATGTTCAGCTCTAGAGAATTTAACCAAGGGGTCTCGTGGGACTGCAGGAGGAATAAATGTCGTATGCCCTCATCATTTAGCCCCTGCCTCAACTCAGCAGCAGAGAGAATGTTGTAACCCAAGCCAGTTCACATACAGGCTCACTGAGGATAAGTTCTGTCCTAGGATTTCTGGGTCTCAGCCTCTATCTTGTCCCATCAAACTGGGACCACAATGGCCTGATCCTGGTTCCCTCCCTGCCCTCGCCTCCCACCCTCTCCTCTTCCCTCACTCCACTGCAGCCACACCGGCCTCCTTGCTGCCCCTCACACACACCAGGCCCACTCCTACCTCAGGGCCTTTGCATGTGCTCTTTCCTCTGCCTGGACCGCTCTCCCCCAGGGCTCACTCCTTCACTCCATTAATAGCGAGGCCTTTCCTGGCCACTTGATTGCCAGTGTTGCCATCACTTGCTGTAAGAAAGGCGAGATCTCTGTCTGGCTTGTTCGCTGCTGGGTCCAGGCTGCTAGTTTCATTTTTCATTCCCAGGAACACCCTTGAACCCTGCCAACATCCAGATCCCCCTCTTCAAATGCCGTGTCCCCTCCTTCAGCACAGTCCCCCCAACTCCTAGCATGTTCCTCTCCCAGTCACAGCCCCCAATTCCTCCCCAAGACTCCCATCACCCCAAGAGAGACACAAGGATGAGGCCCCAGCACTGGATTTTATTGCCTCCCTGGCAGAGAGGAGGTGTCCTGGGGGCAGAGCCTGTGGGCAAGTGCAGGGCTGAGGCCCACATGGAGTGTTTCCTGTCTGATTCAAGGCTCAGGTTTGGAGCTGTGCGGTCAGTGGAGGCTCGTGGAGGCTGAGCTTGGTGGGGGGGCCGTGGACTGGGCCGAGAGATTCTGCCAGCGAGAAGTGGGTGGCCCCTCACTCTTCAGGTCTGCGGGAGCCCCTGGGGTGGGGTGGCGAGGGCTGAGAGGGGCTGAGGTGTCTCGGGAGAGAACTTGACCAGGTGGGTCCGGAGAGCCCAGGGCAGGGGGACACCATGGGCTGCGTCTGCATCCTGCAGGGCTGAACATGGCGAGGGGGGCCTGGCCGCTGGGGCCCCTCCTCAGGTCATCCCATGGGGCACGAGTCTGTGGTGGGCACCCAGGGGCTCAGAGCTCATCGTGGTGACGTGTCAGGTCCTCGCCGTAATTGGTGGCCTGGCTGCCCACGAACATGTTCCAGTTGCCCAAGATCTCAGCCTTACTCAGACGCCCGTCCTGGGTGGAAGGTCAGAGGTCAGCAAGGACAACTCAGTCCCCTGCATGTGAGACCCTTCTCCGGACCTAAGTATGGCCCTCCAGGTCCCTGTCCCCCTCTCTGGGTTCTTGTCCCCATCTCTGGATCCCTGTCCCCCTCTCTGGGTCTCTGTCCCCCTTTCAGGGTCCTGTTTCCCCCAACCCTTGGTCCCTCTCCACTCTCTCTGTCCCTTTCTCCATCCAAACAGGGACCCATGCAGCTCCAGGCCCAGCTCCTGGTCACTTGTGCGCACCCGCTGCACCCTCCCCGCGCTGGCCTGCGCACGCCCATCGGCACCTTGTCCGTGTCACTCTCCTGCAGCAGGTGGTTGGCCTCCACGAGCGGCTGGTCCTGGGCCGGCGGCAGCACCCAGTGGCCGACCTCGCTGGCGTCCAGCCGCCCGTCCTTGTTCAGGTCGCGGAAGTCCCGGAACTGCTCCCTCTCCGTCTGCACCCAGGCGGGCTCCTCCTCGCCGGGCTCGGGGGAGTACAGGTCCGCTGGGTCAGGCGACAGGCGGCGACTCAGGAGCAGACCGGGATCCAATCCCAGCCCTGACGCTGCCTAAGGCCCCGGCCACCCCTGCTCTCTCTTTAGCCTGTTTCTTCTTTTTAAATGGAATTAATGACACCTAATTTACAGGTGATCAATATGCGACAAGTGAAATTGACTTGATTGATCAGTTCATTGACCCACTGAACGATCAATCAGTTTGATTGATATCCAAGTGAAATACTACTGTGTGCACTGTGTGGCTCAGAGCCTGGCACATAGTAGGTGCTCCATGTGAAGGAAGGACGGGCAAACGAGTTTCTGGCCAGATGAGAGGAGCTACTATAAAGCTCACCCCACCCTAAGAACCTGGCTGGAGCACTGGCCGGGTGGCTCACTGGTCGGGGCATCACCCCGAGCACATACACCAAAAGGCTGAGGTTCCCATCCTGGGCTGGGGGTGCGGTTGGCAGGCAACCATGATCGACGTTTTTCTCTCCCTTTCTCCCTCTCTCTCTCTCTCTCTCCCCCCCTTCCTCTCCCTCCACAAATCAATAATAGAACCTCCCTAGATATTGTTGGAGCCTCTCTTTTGTTTTTCTTTTTTTTAAAGAATTGCTTATTGATCTTTAGAGAGAAAGGGAGAAACATCGATGTGGGAACAAAACATTGATCGGCTGCCTTCTGTGCGCCCCTCACCAGGGACTGAGCCCGAAACCCGGGCAGGTGCCCTGACTGGGAATCGAACTGTCAACCTTTTTCTGGAATCAGACCGGCAGCCCTTTCATGGGCCACAGCCAACCGACTGAGCCACACCGACCAGGGCTCTTTTTTTTTTTTTTTTAAAGATCTCAATGAACTTATTGTTACATTTTTAGGTGTAATAATAAATCTTTTGTTTCAATTATTTGGAAGTATTTGCAAAACTCCTCGCCCCAGGGGCTGCCTTGGAGAAAGTAGTCCCCAGATGTATTTCCCAGACATTACAACCCGACAAGCCTTTTACACCAGACACGAAGCCTGGTAATTAGCACAGAGCTTCCTCCCTGGAGGCCAGGCGGACTATCTGAGGATGCCATCTAGGACGGAGCAGGCTCTGGGCAGGGAGCACAGAGCTTCCTTTTTTTTCTTTAATGGTCCTAAGTCATCATTTCTTACAGGAAATGGCAAGGGCAGGTGGGAGTTATGTGTGTGTTTTCATTTTGTGGTAAAAAGCACACAACATAAAACTCACCATTAGTGACAGTTAGTGCATTTACGATGTAAGTCAACCTCTATCCAGAACATTCTCATCACCCCTAAAGGACACCCCTTCCCCATTAAGCAGTAGCTCCCTGGCCCACCTCCCTCCAGCCCCGGGCAACCACTAATCTACTTTCTTTTTCAGTGAATTTTCCTATTCTGGGCACTTCATTAAATGGAGTTGTACAATATTGTGGCCTTTCACTTAGCACAAAATTTCCTTTTTACAGCCCAGTAATATTCTATTGCCTGGATCTACCCCTTTTGTTCAGCCATTCATCCACTGGGGGGCATTTGTGTTGACTACGTGTGGCCGTATGTGGGGGTGTTCTATTACCCCCATTTATAGATGAGAAAACTGAGGCTCAGAGAGGGTGGGACTTGTTTATAGTCACTTGGCTGGGAGGTGGCAGGTGGGGACCGGGATGCATAAGGCACCCCCACCTCTCCCATCTCCCCTGGCACCCCCCCTTCCTGGGTCAGGACCCACAATGTCCCCTCAGTACTCCTCATTCATGCCCTTCCCCACACCATTCAACACAGTGAAATCACATTTCTTTAGTGGATCCTGGGGTTCTGCCCATGTCTCTGCCTCCAGAGCCCCACAGGGACCCCACAGCGTGGGTGTCAGGGCAGAACCCTGGGATCCACCTGCCTCACTCAAGTCCTGTTCCACCTGACTAGCAGGTGACCTCAGTCAGGCATTTTTCCCTCTGGGCCTCAGCTTCCTAATCTACAGAGTGGGGTAATAATACCCACCCCACAGGGTTGACGTGGGGATTAAATGAATTTACAAGATGTTAACCACAGTCACCACAGACTGTGTCAGCTACTGTTATGATTCAACTGTATGCACGAGTTCTTCCTTGGAAAAAAAAAAAGATGTTTCCCTCTTTCTTCCTCTTCTCTCTAAAATCAATCAATAATTTTTTTTTAATAAATAAAACTTTAAAAAAATATATGTTTTATTGATTTTAGAGAGAGGGAGAGGGAGAAATAGAAACATCGAGGCGAGAGAAACCTCAATTGGCTGCCTCCTGCACGTTCCTTACTGGGGACTGAAACCCGGGCATGTGCCCTCACCAGGAATCAGACCGCAGCCTCCTGGCGCACAGGATGACACCCAACCAACTGAGCCACACTGGCTGGACAATAATTTTTTTTTTAATTTGCTTAAATAAAAATGTCCTGCCTGCAGGTTTGTTCCATAAAAACATTCTATAAAAATGTATTCAAAATTTAATAATTCCATGCTTAATAGCTTTCCCCTTAACTAATTTTTTTGAGGGCAAGGACAGAGGCAGGGTCACAGGGATATTTGGAGGTGTCACAAAAGCTCCCCAACATCCCAAGTAACAGGAGACACTTACACTTTGCTGTGTAAATGCAGGTGCAAAACAAGTTCTCTGACTTTCCATCCCAAGCAAACATAGCCCCTGAGCCCTGATGCTGTAGAAACTACAGACCCTCCCAGGAAGGGACCTGCTCTGTGCCAGTCTCTGCTGTATTCTCAACCATGAACATGCCCAATAAACGTTTCTTGGTCCTGGCAAACAGTAGGTACTTGATAATATTTTTTTGGTCTGGCATACAGAAGGTATCCAATAAATGTTTCCTGGGCCTGACCCATAGTAGGTGTTTGATAAAGATTTGCTTGGGGTGGGGGGCGGTGCTGGCACATAGTAGGTGCTTAATAAATGTTTGGTGGATGCATGAACTCAAGCTGTGCCCTTGCTTTTGCTCTCTTATGGCTGATAATGCACTGGGCTGCCACCCGAGCTTGGGAGGGGACAGGTGTCCTCAGGGAGATTCAGGTCCCACTCACCGATATACTCGTCCACTTGGATGTAGCCATCCTTGTTCTTGTCCAGGTCCTCCAGGGTTTCCTGGGGAGAGAGAGGCATTGGGGCTGGCTCCTGAGGGGCGCCGGACCCCTGGGATCCGGGTGTGAGGTTCTCTCAGGGGATCTCACTAGGGGGTGGTTGTAGGGCCACACGTTGGAGCAGCCTAACAGGGTGTGTGGGGAATCTGGGGGCTGTCTGGGGTGCCATCATAATGCAGGCCTTACCTGCACTTAGTGGCTGAGGTCAGAGAACCCAGCTGTCCCTATGTACAGGTTGGTTCAGAGGAGAGCCATCTTGCATCCCTAACAACTTTCTCACGTCCCTGTCCTCACTCTCCAAGGGCAGAAGCCTCTTTCCCTTTAAAAGACACCAGCTCAGTTGGTGGACCATTTGACACACTTTCAAAACTGCTGCTCTTAGTCTTTTTCCTTCACTTTTTGAGCAAACAGCTTCTGTTCCTCATTTTTGTGTTCAAACTCGCTCCCTGTGAGGCAACACAGGAACCTGAGACGCCGCTATGTCTTCTGGCAAAGTTGAGCTCCAGCATTTTAGGGTTGACAGATACATACAGGATCCTCAATTACATTTGACTTTCAGATGAACAATAAATAATTGTTCAGTATAAGTCTGTCCCACACAATATTTGGAACATACTTAGAGTACAGGATGCTGAGTCACTTCAATTTCAGATAAATAATTTTTTAATAAAAGTATGTCCCAAATATTGTATGGGATATACTTACACTATAATATTTATTTGTTGGTAACTCTACAACACTTACATGTTGAAATTCCTGTTATTTATTGAAAGTTATTTATCATAACTTTCCTTTAGCTTCTCCTGTATAGCACTGTTTGGGCTAACAGTCATGTTTTGAAATGTTCGCGTGGGGAGGTTATGCTCACTATCCAGGAATGTGAGCGATGACAGAAGAGTTTAGGGTTCAGCAAACTTTTCCCACAAAGGGCCAGGTAGTAAATATTTTTGGCTTTGCCTGCTGTACAGTCTCTGTTGAACTGACTCAACTTCGCAGTTGTAGCATATGCAAGCAAATGGGCGTGCCTGTGTCACAATAAAACTTAATTTGCAAAAATATTCTGTGGGCTGGATTCGGCCACAGGTTCTAGTTTGCAGTCCCCTGGTTGAGACCATGGATTCAGCTGTCCAGGTTCAAATCCAGGCTGTGCCACTTCTCATCGGGGTGATCTAGGGCAAGTCGCCTCTTTGTGCCTAGATATCCTTCTCTGTAAAACAAGATGACAGGCCACCACCATAGGGCTGCCATGAACAATTAAATTGAGATAATGCAGGTAAATGTGTTAGAAGGGTGCCTGGCACACAGGACATGTTCTATCAGGGTTTGTTAAATAATCTTAACTTGAGAGAATGAAGAGGTGTTACATTATCTGTTCTAAAAGATGGACATTGGGCCTTGCAGGAAGGGAAGTGTAAGGGGTTCGAGAAGCCTGGGTTAAGATCTCCTCTCTGATCCCTGCTGACCCAGCCTTTCCTATCTTGTAGCTATATTGACACCCCCAGGCCAGTTTCACAGAGCTGCCTGTATGAACTCTTCTAGTCCCTATAACCACAGTGCAGACAGGGATCACTATCAGTACCATCGTTTCACAGATAAGGAAACTCCAGTCCATAGAGGTCAAATAACTTGCCTCAGGTCACACTGACAGGAAGCAGCAGGGCTGGGATTTGAACTAAGCCTTCTGGCCTCAGAGGCCTTGACCCTAACAGCCTTGCCATAGACCCTAAAAGTAGCTTTGGAACTGGAGACGCCAGAAAGGGGTTACCTGTGGGGATAAGACTGTGTGTGACAGGGTAGGGACATGGGAGAAAAGAAGATTGTTCACCTTTCTTGCATCTTTTGGGCATTTAACCACATCATTATGTTACCTATTTGAGAAATACATATAATTACATTTTTAAAGTAATTTGTGAAGAGTTAGGCTTGGTGGAAGTGGGCCTAAATCCTTCCACTAATGGTGATGCTGGGGCGTCGGGATAGACTGGAAGATGTCACCCTCCACTGATTGGCATTTGCGGCCTGGGTTTCCTGGGGAAGGTGCCAGGGGACCAGGTGACTGGAACTCCCCAGGTAAGTGCCGGAAGGCTAGCTTCACTCACGGCAACCACAATGTCCCGCATGTGAGGGAACTCCTCCGGGTGCAAGTAGGCTGTCAACTCCTCCCGAGTGGCCATCAAGTCCCCATCCTGGTCAGCCACCCGGAAGCGTCGCTCGTCCCGGGCCAGCATCCTCTTGTAGGTCTCTGCGTCCTCCACGTCGTGAAACTCCTCACCTGGGAAGGAGGGAGCGCAGTGAGATGTGCGTCCACGCAGGTAACACCAGGCAAAGAAAGGCAAAGGGGTCTAACTCCGGGCAGGGCAGGAAGACCTCCACTGAATTATCAGACATCATACATATTCAGCACGTGCATATATGTGCTACCCCGTAGTAAGAGCTTACCATATACTAGCTCTTTACCTCCAGCATGGCATTTAACCCTCACAAAATGCAAGCAGAGTTCTTTTGTTTATTCTCTGCGTGGAGGAGAAACTGACTCCCAGAGAGGAAATAACTCGCCCAAGGTCTTGCATCCAGGGATGATGGACTTTGAGTTAACACTGGCCATTGGGCCCCCAAGTCATGCTCTGATGCAGCAGGTTATATTGCTTCAGGTTGCTGGGCAGAGAGGAGGGGAAGGGCGTTTTCAACAGAGGGAACAGCAGTGGCGGAGTATGGAGGTTTGAAGAATGTGGTGAGTTCAGGGAAATAGCAGATCCATTTGCCCAGGGCAGAAAATGCAGAAAAATGAAGCTAGAGAGGTGGGCCAGGTGGGGCTGAGGAGCTGGGACGCTCTCCTGGGGGTCCAAGGGAGTCAGGGGGAGCTGTGAGCAGCAGAAGGTCAGGTAAGCTCTGGGTGTGGAAAGGCCCCTCTGGGGATATATGAGGGACTGGCTGGGGTGAAGGTACAGGAGGGAGAGAATATGAAGGGCCCAGGGCTAGGAAGTGGGGGCAGGGAGGAGGGAACTCAGGGGGTCAGTGGGGATGGTAAATGGCTTTGGATGAGAGGTCAGAGGTCAGGGGCATGGAAGGTAGATGTCGCTGGTCAAGAATCTGAAGATCCCCTGTCCCAGGGTTATAGAGGTTGTGGATGTCAGAACGAGAAGCCAGATTGGTGGTTTCAGGGTGATGGGGTCTTACAAGTGAGTAAACCCTGGTCAAGGACCAGAGGTCAAAGGTCAGGGATTCCAGCTAATGGGCTAAAGGTTCTCAGGATCAGGAGTGAAAAAGGCCAGGGTCACGGTGTTTGTGAGGGGCAGGGGTGGGGTCCCGCCGCATACCCGGCGCGTAGTAGCCATAGGTGGCGTTGCGCAGCTCCTCCCAACCCACGCGCCCGTCGCCGTCCGTGTCGTACGTGTTCCAGGCCGCGCTCACCGAGTCCTGTATGTGCCGTTGCTGCGTGTGCGCGATCCACGAGCGGAGCTCGGCCAGCGACACCCAGCTGTCCCCATCCCCCGCGCGGTCCATGCGGTCCACTATGCGCCTGGGGGCCGGGCGGGGGCACAGGTCAGTTTCCAGGCCCGCCCACCCGGGGGTCCCCAACTCACCCAGGCTCCGCCCCTCAGGCAGAGCCACGCCCCCACTTGAGGCACACCTCGAAGGGGGGCTAAAGAGTGCGGTCCCAGCGCCTCCCGCAAA